AAGTACCAACCATCACAACTAGATTGCAGCGCCATTGACTCTTATTTTCCAAGTTCCTAACGTTTTGTACGTCGGACCTAAGTTAGGACGACTTATTAGAAATACAAGCCTCCATTGTGAAAACACTCCACAACATTTTGGCGAACGAGGATTCGAGACTCACGTGGGAAAAGAAAAACTTTTTGTTTGCCTAACCACAACATTTTGGCGAACGAAAATTTAAGACTCACACAGGAAAAGAAAAACTTTTCATACGCCTAACAACATTTTGGGCGATGGACTCATAATCCACACAGGAAAAGAAAAATTTTTCATTTACTTTACTACAACATTGACGACGAAAGATTCGTTACTCAGATAGAGAAAGAAAGAAAAAAATTTTTGTACGTCTGACAACATTGGCGACAAGGAATTCGTAATTCATACGTAAGAAAATTTTTTGTTCACTCTATAACAATTTTGGTGACAAAGAATTCGAAATTCATACAAAAAAAAAAAAAAATTAATTATTTTCGTCATATACAACACTTTGCTACAAATGTATTTTGGTTTCATACGGAAAAAAAAAAAAATTGCGTTCACTCTACAACACTTGTCAACATGGATTCGTAACTCATACAGAGGTGTAAAAAAAAAAAAAAAAAAAAAAATCACCCGCCATAATACATGTAACGTACGTGGGATTGCGTTTCATATCTTGAAAAATAAAATTCGCTCACGTTATTTAGTGACGAAATTCGTGTAAAAAAAAAACTTGGCAAAAGTTTTTTTTGAAAGACAAAACGTCAACTTAGTGACGGAAAAATCAGTCGTATTCTCAACTGAGAAAAGAATTTTATTTTTTCTCGATAAGACAGTTTGCTCTAATAGGTCACGAATTACAAATTCATTTTGGACCCCCTGTACAATATTTAAGTATTGTGTAAACTTTTTGTGAAGATGGAGGAATGCAAAAATATATTCCAGGAATTTTTTAAGTTCCAGACGGAACAACAAAAGACAATATTGGAACAACAGCAAACATTCCAGATACAACTTCAGGAGGATACCTTTAATAGACAAATGCAATTTCAACGAGAAATGGAACAGATGCATAGGGAGTTTCAAAACAAAATGCTGGAAATAACTGAGAAGAGGGAAGAGAAAAATCTACGAAATGATTCTTTCCCAGAGAATACAATATGGAATTCGACTGAAAGATTCACGTACAGCCCAGACGAAGAAATAACTTTTGAAGAGTATTTTAAAAAATATACAGACATGTATAACGAGGACTGCCACACGTGGTCTGAAGGAAAGAAGGTTAGACTTCTTTTAAGCAAGTTAGGAACTGCTGAGCATAATAAATTGGTAAACTACATTTTACCGAAAAAAAAAACTAGCAAGTTAACTTTTACCGAGGCGGTAAATATATTAAGTGAATTATTTAGTAAAAAGACATCTTTGTTTCACAAAAGGTGGAAATGTTTGAATCTGATGAAAGAGGATGAACAAGACTTTATAACGTATGCAGCCAATGTGAACAAGCATTGTGAAGAATTCAAACTAGCAGAATTAAGCTTTGACATTTTCAAGTGTTTGATATTTGTCCAGGGTTTAGTTTCAGAAAGAGACACAGAATTGAGGAAATTGGTACTTTCAAAATTGGAAAACGAACCGAGGATTTCGGTACAGAGTTTGGCAGAAGACTGCACAAGATATGTTAGCGTAAAGAAAGACTCGAAAAAGATAGAACAGTCTGGCGTTTCGCATGTAAGGAAAATACGCTACAAAAAAGAAAGTCAGTCTACCAAAAAGAATTCTAAAATTGCGGATTATCAAACAAATAATGAAATACCAGAAAAAAATAAACAAAAACTCCCGAAGCCATGTTTTGCTTGCGGTGAACTTCACTGGTATAGATATTGCAGTTTTAGGAATAAAAAATGTTTCAACTGTGAAAAAGTGGGGCATAAAAGCTCACACTGCAGGTCAAAAATAAAAACAAAATAAGAAAATTAAAGTCCGACGAAGTGAACGACGGAATAACCAGAAAATTTGTTACCGTCGAAATATGTAATAAAAAAATAAAAATGCAACTCGACACTGGTTCCGACCTATCATAAATTTGAATACGTGGAAGAAGTTGGGGAAACCAACTTTAATAATGTCAAATAAAATTGCGAGGTCCGTGACAGGAGAAAAAACACAATTTATTGGAGAATTTGTTACAAACGTCACATTAAATATGAAAAAACGTGAAAAGCTAAACTATTTGTCATGAAAAATACCACGAACTTACTTGGTACGGATTGGATAACAGAATTTCAATTATGGGATTTACCAATAAATTCTTTCTGTTACAAGGTTGAAAATTTAAACTACGAAGCTAAAAATTTAGTTAGGAAACTAAAAAGAAATTTTCCTACTGTTTTTTTTCTCCAGGTTTGGGAACGTCTACTAAGATTGAGGCAAAATTACAGCCTAAACAAAACGCTCAGGTGGTATTCAAAAAGAAAAGGAATTTGCTGTTTGCTTCAATTGAACAGATAGATAAAGAATTGGACAGATTAGAGAAAACGGGTTTATTTAAAAAAGTGGAATGGCTAACACCGACAATATGCGTGAAAAACAAGCTTCAGAAAGTAAAAATGAAACAGACACCGAAAAAAAAAAAAAACTGAGGAACAAGTTACACACAACCAAGGACATGCAGTATTATTAAATGATTTAAGTCAACAAGAACCTACAGAAACTGTGAGTCCAACTTTAAGAAGTTCAAAGCGGAAGGTTGTTTCTGGTAACGCTTTGGAGATATATATATATATAAAAAAAATAAAATAAAAAAGCGGATTGGCTACATGAGACACTTGGTGAAAGAGGAAAAACTCATGTGCAGTAAGCAGATCAGACGACGCTTTTCAGACATGGTTGACAGCAGTCCAGAGAAAAAAAAAACAAACAAAAACACCGATGGAAGCGATTTTCAATAAGTTTGATCTAGCAAATAATTTTACCTATGGTACATGATCCAGAAAAAAAAAAAAAAGACAACTGATCATTTAAAAGTGAACCCAAAACGTAGATACACTACGATGTTGCTAAAAAAAAAAAAAAAAAAATTTTTTTCTGTAAAAATTTGTAAAATAAAGAAAACTTTTTACTCCTGCGGAGTAAAGTTTTTTTTTGGGGGGGGGGGGGGGGAAAGGAATGTTAGGTACCTATTCTATTGTAATGGACTCTCCCATAGATAAGTAGGAGTAGCAGTGGCAAGTCTGGCAGAATGGTGTTGAGCGCGTCAGTCGAGATTCGTACATTTGAAGTACCAACCATCACAACTAGATTGCTGCGCCATTGACTCTTATTTTCCAAGTCCCTAACATTTTGTACGTCAGACCTAATTTAGGACGACTTATTAGAAATACAAGCCTCTACTGTGAAAACACTCCCATAACTCTGACAGAAGTTGGCGAGTTTCTTTAGAACATAGTTCCTTGATTTCTAACAATTTTATTATCAATCTGTATTTTTTCGTAAAGTGTATCGTTTTGTGCTCTCATATTTCAATTTGGGCCTCCATTTTTTGCTAGGCTCAGTGTGTTTTTTTTAATTGTTTTTCCGTTTGTCGTGGATTGATCCCCCCCTTGGAATAAATGCTATCTCCCCCCCAATCTCTATGAAGGTTTTGTATATTGTTGAGGTTTCTTTATTTTTGATAGCATTTAAATATGCTAGTTTTCTTTAAGTAGGTTGTCTCACATCCCCTACCCTTGCCACCAGACAAAAATAAAAACTGACAGTCAAATTTTAAAAAGTAAATCAGTTAGTCTGAGGTTTACATCAGCATGAAACCCAGGGTTACAAACCCATACACATTCAACTGATAGATGTATATGTGTGTGTGTGTGTGTGTGTGTGTGTGTGTGTTATGTACCATGCATGATACACGTTTAGACAATCATGTATCTTTCAATACATGACTGATGAGGCAGATTTTTTTTTTTCTGCAGTAGGCTGCTATTTCCTTCTGTGGTAGACAAGTTGCCATCCAAGGCTCTAGGACCCGGTTTGTCCTGCTATTTACCTATAACTGGGGGAAGAAGATTCATACCTTTCCCAAGTGTATTAGCATGTAAGTGAATGTAATGGATTCAACTGGAAATCAAACACAGTTCTCAATTCCTATATATATATATATATATATATATATATATATATATATATATATATATATATAAGGCTTACAACCATAGAGAATTTAAATATTGCACAGATTTAACCCTTGATCAAGTGAAAGACTATACATAAGAGAGGGATAAAACTCGACTTTAAAGTTTGTCATATGCCTCAAAGGAGTGATACCAGTGCTGAATGAATCCTAAATATAGCATATAAACCAGATTTGACAAAAAAAAAAAAAAAAAAGGCACGAATCAAACAAATCAGATAAAACACACAGGAATCATACTTATCATAGCCCAGTGCTAATATCATCACACTTGTATGACTAATGTCTCTCTCCCACCATGTGCATATATCATTGAAAATTACTAACGCTGTTAAATTTTCTGTAATGATTTCTTTAGTAAAAACACAGGATATTGTTACATATGCCATATCCAAAAATGTAATCTCTTGTTCACACACAAGAAAAGCATGTACCAACTTAATAACATGGGATTTTGTAGCTGATATTTGTGAGATTATTGCATACATATTCAATAAGACTTCTTTTGAAGACACTATAAAACCAGTTATACAGTTAAGAAATTGTTTCAATAAATTCCTCAAGATTTTGGGGAACCCACAGTAAGTGCATGTACATGCAAAAGTTGTTAAATTTCTAAAAGGTTCCTTTTCTGGTGTTTTCAGATATAGGTCACCTATATCTGAAAATTCCAACAAGGAAGGTAGGACAAGTTTTCTCTTCAACACTTTCCACCAACTACACTACCCTCAATCCATACCCCTAAAATTGGTCACTTTGATAAACTATTTTTTTTTTTTTTTTTTTTTTTAAGAGGAGCATGCTTTGCTAATAAAGGAAGCCTTAATCGAACACTTTGAAAGTGATGAACCAAGAAGTTACCTCAAACTCATTCAGGAAGTGTGCCATGAAAAACTGAGTTTATGTAGCCCAGGAAAACAAGCCAAAGATGACTTTGTAAGTTTATTTAAATTTTTTGTTTTTCAAACCCTAAGTAAACTTTAGCTATTGCATTCATGAAAATGTAGTACAGGACAAATATAACCTGCAAAACTCAAATATATGTTTGTTCCTCCAATGAATACATTTAAAGGTTTGCCTGCTTTTACTTGTGGTGCTTAGAAAATATACTTTTAATATAATCTCTCCTTATATCACTTAGTCCAATGACCAGTTCTAAACTACTGGTAGGGCCATCCTTGACAGCAAAGTTGAAAATGAGGACCCAGACAAACCCCAATGGCAGAACAAGCAGATGAAGAAGGCTACACATGACAAACCTCACAGAAAGTGTCACTCAAAATTATAAGAGCCAGCAGCAGTTTCATAACTGGATCCTGTAGGTCTCATCTCATGTCCTGAAGAGGAAGGTCATGAAATAAAGTGTGTAGGTCACTTCCTGGCCAAGTTGAGATCCAACAAATTCATGCTATTGACACTTTCAAAACTCTCACAAAGCCAGTCATTGGAAATGGATGACAAGAACTAGGGTAAATTTTGGTTCTGTTTCTCCTAACGCTAATATCCCTTAAAATCGTCATAATCCCATGCAAATGTACATGCTGAACTCAAATTAACAATTAAATTATGAAGAAACATTACCGTTTTGTAGTTATTGACAAGGGGAAAAAAAAAAAAGAAAAAGAAAAAAAAGACTTCTTGTTGGTTATCCACCCCCCATTACTGCCATCATGATTAATTAACTGTGTAGTACCTATACAGGCGTAATCAGAAAAATTGGCCTATTTACTTTTACAGAAAATTACTATGCACTACCGTAAAGAAATGTAATTTTTTTTTTTTTTTGTTATTCAAAAGGAAAAAAGGTTTCGTTGTATTATTTAATTTGTTTTTGTTATAAATAAAACTACACTAAAAAAAAAATAAAAATAAAATAAATTACATTTCTTTACGGCAATGCATAGTGATTTTCTGCAAGGAAAGTCTGTAAAAATAAATAGGCTAAATTTTCTGAATGTCAGCATAGGTACTACGCAGTGAATTAGTAATCCTGATGGCAGTAATGGGGGACGAATGACCAACAAGAAGTCAGATTTTTTTTCTTGTCAATAACTACAAAATGGTAAGGTTCCTTCGTACTTTAATTGTTAATTTGAGTTCAGCATGTACATCTGCACAGAACTATGACGATTTGGGAAAAAATTTAAGGGATATTAGCACTCAGGGAAACAAAACCAAAATTTACCAGAACTGGTTTTGATGAAAATGGAAGTTTATAGTCCTGAATCTTGCACATTGGTAGCAAACTTAGTCAACACCATCATGAAAGGAAGTGATCAACTTATTTAAATTTTTGCCACATTCAATAAAGATATCTATTCAGGAATTTTAAGTAATATAAAATGATTGACATTTTTTTTTTCTTTCGTTTCAGGAAAATTCCATGAGATTCAACACAGCCAACAAAATGGAGGTTTCTTTCAGTGGAACAATAAAAGCTGTAAACCCAGTGAAAGAAAGTGACTAAAATGTAAACCTCTTTTTCTCAACAAGGACACTTCAATTTTGCATCATTTCTATGAAAAGCCAACAGGAACAGTTTCACCCCCAGTAATCTAGTTAGCACAGTGGATTTTGGTTAAATGGAATATCGGTCACAAGAGATTAATAAAACTACCGCCAATTCTGCAAGCAATTTCTTAAATTAATCTCAAGGCAATAATAGCACAAAGGGTGAGTGGAAATGAAAAAGATGAGAAAGGACAATAATATAACATGAGTTTAAAAGCTATTCAATTGTAGCAAGCTTGATCTTCAGTAGATACCATGACATTATGCAATAGTAAGCACATTGAATAGTAACACTAACTGCTGTATTGTTTTCTGGCTGTACAGACCCATTTATAGAAAATGGTCAGTTAATGGAAATAAATGATAAATACAGACAGCAATTTCTGAAGGGTACCATTTCAGTTTCAATAGGATAAGTACAGACTAAACAGCATCCTAGACAATAAAGCCAGAAAGGTTTGTATTGTAGGCTACTATGTTTATACTTGTTTGGAAATAGCACTAAGTGGAAATGCAAGTTTTGTAAAGATGTATAAGTGCGTCTAAAGCAGAAGATAAAAAACAAAGAAAAAAAAAAAAAAAGTTTATTGAAGGTGCAACAGAACTTGATAATTTCTCTTTTCAGTCAAACAAATCAGATATTACACACTAGAATCAAAACATTTCATAGCCCAGTGCAGATGTCATCATTCACGTCTGTCTGAAAGATACTCCATTCAATCAAAACCTAGAATCTCAGAAGTGATTTTTTTTTTTTTGAGCTGTTAAAAATAAAATGTAGCCTTGATGTTCTGCTCAAGGATAATCCAATGTATTTTCTTATATATTCTTGGACTCTTAGTGTAGAAACATATCTAAACATCAAAATTCAATTTGATACAATTGGGAAAAAAAAAAAAAAAAAAAAAAAAAAAAGTAATTTTAGTGGCCAAAACTACCTGTTAGGAGTTTCTGCATTAATATATAAAATATAGATACACGTGTGTGTGTGTATATATATATATATATATATATATATATATATATATATATGTGTGTGTGTGTGTGTGTTGAACCAAAGTTCAAGGCTATTAAGCAAATTTGTTTCCTTACTTTCCCTTTTGATATATACTTCCTTGAAAGAGTGAGTAAAGATTAGATGCAGATAAATTTTCTATGAGGGGAAAAAAAAAAAAAAAAAAAAAAGTAAATTCTGATATGCTATCATATACTCATTATTAAGCTGGTGAACATTTAAAAAATTCCACATATGCAGAGATCCAACTGTAATGGTTATTATAATTTGCTTTCAAATTAACTTGCATAGAACATTAAAAGATGATATACTTTTATAGCCAAGCAATTGAACAATGTCTAATTCACTCATTAAATATACATATTACTTTTATTGCTTTCCTCTTATATTTAAGGACAGAAAACATTTCATAAAATTTTTCTGGTAAACTGTATTGACATCTATAAAACATGCTGTTAAATAAGCAGCATGTTCAATCAAAATCCTAACTACCTATTAAATTGTATATTTCTTTTAGGTGCTAATTAAGAATTGTATTAGTATCCATGGCAAACGGACAGTTTAAGTTCTATGAAAATGACTTTAAAATCAACTTACCAAGTAACAAATTTTTAAACGATTTTAAAAAGTCCAGTCCACTAAGATTGATTTATATTCGACTTAGGATAAAAATCAAAAAAGATAGACAAAGACTTTAAAGTCTTTCAAAGCAAGTTTATTTAAAGCCCATGGCCTTTACTTCTTTGAACCTTCTTTTGCTTTCATGACACGTACAACAATCTTCTGCTCTTCAATGAGAAATGCTCTGACAATTCTGAAAAATAAAGTATTCAGTATAAAGTTTACATATATACAGTACAGACAGAATGTAATTTATAAATGGCTAAAATATATTATAGAAACCGTCAAAACAAACCTGGTAATCAATATTTGATAAACCAACTTCCATCAACTTGAATATTCAGAGGGTATAAAACACTTAACTAACAATTTGATAAAGGAATGACTACAACTTTTTTTAAAGTTATATAATCTCTAAAATTCTAATGCAAAGAAATGAATTGCCTTCAATTTGATGCAAGCATTCAATCCCCACAGATGAAGAGAAAACTGGAGGCAACAGAAAATTACAAGGATGGAATGAGTAAGCAGAGGAAGTCAAATTGGCAACAAGTACACACAGAAACAGGAAAAGATAGCTGAAATTTCTTGGACACATGAGAAAAAAGGGCTTAGGAAGAAAGAGATATGGGAAGAGCAAATTTCTGACAGAACAGGGGACAAGATGCTTTGCTAAGGGAGAAAACTGCTAAGGGCCACAGAGGATAAGTTTTAGAGAACCATGATTGCTCATGTTACGTGGCAAATAGAAGAAACATTTTCTCAAAGAAAAATTACAATTTTGTTTATATTTAAGGCCTAATTACAATACACATGAAGAGGCTTGCAGATCATTGCAACTGCAGTGAGCACAATCCATATTAGATAACTTGGCATATCACATGCAGCAATACAAAAAAAAAATTTTCAGAAGAGAGTTGCCACAGAACTTTATAGACAGACAAATCAGGTATTACACACTAGAATCAGGACATTTCATAGCCCAGTGCAGATGTCATCATCTGTGCCTGTCTCAAAAATACTTCATTTAACCATTACTTAATCTAGAAAAATTTCAGAAGCTAAAATAAAAAAAATAAAATCTAAAATGCAGTCCAATTATTCTCTCAGAAAAAAAAAAAAAAAAAAAATGGATGAAGTTATTTTCAACCAATAATCTAACAAAATCTGGAAGAAATATTTTTTTTTGTTATATGCTCATTACCACTGCCAACAGATTTTATTGTCATTTAACTGCTATCAAATTTTAGCAGAGAAAGCCTATAGAAATGAAAACCTTAAGTCAATTTTGGAAGAAGAAGAAAAAAAAAAAAAAGAAATAGTTGGTCAAATTTTTGAAAGCAACCAGTTCAAGGAATTTATCAGTCCTATTCATAAAAAGTATCTCCATTGAAAACAAAGCAAGTCAGATATTACACCCAATTCTTGCTCTCGTGTAAGAGATACGTTAGAGAGAGAGAGAAAAAAAAACAAAAAACAAACCCTTACGTCTTTAAGAGTAAATCTGCTGTGATAATCCAAGCATGATATTTGACAAACATCTATCACTTAACCTATAAGTTGCTGGACACTCATGTCAAATACAACAGCGGAGCTCATCAATATATATATATATATATATATGTGCAGCTTATATTTTATAACAA